AAAATAGCAATAGCAATAGCAATAGCAGTTAGACTTATATACCGCTTCATAGGGCTTTCAGCCCTCTCTAAGCGGTTTACAGAGTCAGCATATTGCCCCCAACAACAATCTGGGTCCTCATTTTACCCACCTTGGAAGGATGGAAGGCTGAGTCAACCTTGAGCCTAGTGGGATTTGAACAGCCGAATTGCTGAACTGCAGTCAGCTGAAGTAGCCTGCAGTGCTGCATTTAACCACTGCGCCACCTCGGCTCATATGTGTGGTTGGACAGACTGAGCAGAAAATACTAAGTTGAAAAATATTTGTAAAATTGGTATCTGATGGATGAATACAGAGGATACTGAAAGAAAGTGAAAGTTTAGAAAAACAAGCTATTTGTAATATACATATAGATATACCTATATACACTCAAATGCACATATTTTGTCAATGTTGTATTGGTTTTCTAACAGAAAGAGTAGGCATATGTATATATACTGTGTATGTATGGGTATACCTGTATATATGCATGTATAAATAAATAAAATACATATTTGCTTTGCAGGTGAAATGGGACCAATGGTTGCAGCTACCCTCAAACTTGGGATTGCTATCTTGAATGGAGGAAATTCGACTGTTCAGCAGGTAACTTTTCTGACATTTAGAGTGAATTACTTCTTTTCATTGACAAGGATGTTTGTATCTACATAATGCATATTTTGTTGATTAGTTCATTAATGGTTGGCCTCTTTCTAAGGAACCATATTAGCTTTTTAAAAGATTTCTTGTCTTCCTTTATGCTAAAATAGACACTGATCAGAAAATGTCCTGTTCAGTTATGATGCTGTAACTCTGGAATACTATCTCCAGAAAATTCTACCTGGGACCATTTTTTGTCAGATACCTTTTTGCATTCACCTTGCAGCCTACGCTTCTCTTTTAAAAGCCTTAAGGCCTTAGTTTCAGTTTTTTTAATATATGTTGTTTGACTGAGATTATACTTTATTTTTTAAATTGAATTGTATGCTTCCATTGTTATTACAGTGCTAGTTATTGAATCAAGGATTATTAAATGACCGCAGGGCATCACTGTTATTGCTGCTGCTACCTCTAAAAGTGATACACCTGCCGACCTGTTGAGGTTGTTGATCACAAGACAATCAAAGTTCACCCCACAAATACAAACGTGTAAGGGAAGAAGATTTTTAAACTGTTTGGACCAATTTGCATCAAACTTAAAAAAATCAGAGATGGTGGAAAGGCAATGCAAGAGCAACAGTAGTGAAGAAGGTAGCAAGAAGCAATTGCAGTATTAGCAAAACTGAAGCAGAATGGATGTAGAGAGAGATCTAGAGCCTCTTACATGCCTCCTTAAGAACTGGCAATATTACTGTCTAGAATTGTTTGGATTAAATTTTGGGATGTTATGTCAAAAAGCAAAAAAGAAACATTTTAAAATGAAATGAAATGATGTTTTATTCTAGAAAATGCTTGACTATCTCAAGGACAAAAAAGATGTAGGCTTCTTTCAGAGCCTTGCTGGTCTTATGCAGTCTTGCAGGTAAGAGAAAAAAAAATAGTACATTTTCAAACCTTTATATTATATACTATCATGAGCTACCCAGAGCAAGTAAGGAATGGAGAAGCATAGAAAGCTTTGTAATGAATAATTGAAGGAATGAATAAGCAAACAACTGAATAAATATTTCAATATAAACTTTGATTTTCCTTGGTAGGTTTGAATGCCTAGGGAAATCCTTCTATTAGTTTTAAAGTACAGCAAAAGAAAAGTGAACAAGTTACAGTACAGAGTTGAACAATGAGTAATATGCCCAATGACTTTCAAAATCACAGAATATCAATAGGGTTCAATGATTTTTTTTAAAGATAGTCTTGTCTTATTTTCTAAGATGTAATATTATTACGGATGGAATTAGTATTGGAATACAGATGCTAAAATATTGGCCTAGGGGAAGTTCCCAAATGCAGTGTAAGTTTTTTTTTTCTTTTCAGATTCTCAGAAACACTTCTCTTTTATGTATATTTAATAATAAAGTATTCATTACGTTAATGTCTTGCAGCACACTCACTTCTTTAATGTTTTTATGATAAGGAACTCAAAGGTTGAGATGCAAAGGTAGAGATTTCACACGAAAGTTTCTCTAAATATATTTATTTGTTTATTTTAAAAAATTAGATGACTTCCAAACTTTAAAAAATATGACTTATAAAAACAACAGTCAACAATTTAAAAAACCATCAATCAACAATACATTCAATAATAGATGTATATTCTCATTGTTGGGTGAAAATATTTTTTATAATTATGTCTAGCTAGTTTATTGCTATGATGTTGAGCAAAATTATATTTTGCTCTCAGCAGCATATCACATTGGTGGTTATAACTGTACAACTGAAGCTGCCCTTTTATGTGTTTACCTGTGGAAGGTTGGTTCAGTGGCTCAGCGGCTGAGACTCTGGGTTTGTTGGCTGGAAAGTCAGCAGTCCAGGTTTGACACCTGAGCACCATGCAACAGGGGGAGCTCCAATATTCACCAAGCACCTGCCAACCGAGCAGTTCAAAAGTATGCAAATGCAAGTAGATAAATAGGTACTACTGTGATGGGAAGGTAATGGTGCTCAGTGATGACATGCTGGCCAAATGTCGTGCTGGTAGAAATGTCTTCGGACAATGCTGGCTCTATGGCCTTGAAATGGAGATGAGCACTGCCCCTATAGTCTGCAACAATTAGCGGAGTAAAATCCACAGGGACTCCTTTTAAAGACGGTGGAGTATCAGCATTACTTTCACACACACACACACACCACTTATATCATATATACTAAAAAAAAGTCTGGGCAATTTGCTTACTGAAGCCTACAAAGGTGCCAGTGTGTGTTGTGAAGGTAGGAAAGGCTACCTTGTTTACCGATTTGTTTATGAGAATTAATTCTATATAAAAAATGTCCTCCTTGTACAATGTCAGAAAAAGACCATTTCTAAAAAAGGTTGTGTTTACTTTAAACATGACCTATGAAGATTTGAATCTTAAATATTTTATTAAAGGTAAAGTTCCTGTCTTTAAGAAAACAAAAATTATGTGACTCATCTTTGCTGAGCCAAATAGGTATTTGTGCCATACAGTGAAATGCATTCATACTTTACTGGTATTAACCCAGTTACATCAAGTGTAAATGCACAGAAATACCTTGCTTACATCTTGCAGCAAAATTGAATGTTTGTGGTTAAAACTACAGTGTATGTTTCATTATAGTGTTCTTGACCTAAATGCTTTCGAACGACAGAATAAAGCAGAAGGCCTTGGAATGGTAACAGAAGAAGGATCAGGTACAGTTTTCCTTATCAAAAAGTTTTGTTGCCTGGACCCTTTAAAGTCACTAAATCAAAATAATTATAACTTGAGTTTGTCTTTATTTGTGACTAGACAACCATGACCTGCTGGGTCATTATTTCAGAGACATTTCCTTACCAGATTACTTAGTATCCTCTAATGTAATGGAAAAGTTCTTAAAATTTCAGGGTTTTATTCAGAGACTTATCTGCTTTGGAAGTAGCTCACATTGAACTGTACAGCGCAGTCAAACATCAGGAGTTGATCTCAGGAAATATTTTAGGACAGTTTTGTATTATGTCATAAAATGTTTTATGATATTTTTATGTTATAGTTCCCAAATTTGGACACATTCTGTATATCGGCCCAATTTAGTTATCTTGGTTGAAAGGATTTAGCCCTATAATGCCGCATTTTGCCCAGTTAAACATTACAGACATGAACATTTAGTATTATATTGACTAGACAACCCATTTCCTGTTGATCATCATTTCAGAAGTATTTCCTTATCTAAACAAACAGAATGACCAAGGATAAAAAATAGTGGTCAGATTTCTGACTTCCTGCTGGCTTGACAGAGGCTAACCACTCTACAGTAGCCAGTGGTGGGACTGGAATATCCAGTTTCCAGGATATAGCCCAGGACGACTAGGGTGGGACCAGCCTATTGAATCTTTGGGTGGCAGCATAAGAGCATTGAAGTGAGCCCAAATATGCCAAATTTCAGTCCCATGGCAGACATGGGTCCTGGATTTTGTATTCATTCTGTAAATTGCCCATTTGAGGTAACTTGGTTCAAAAATTGTTGCCCTATAATCAGTGGTGGGATGCAGGCGGTACTTCCCATTACTGGCATACCAGAGCACCAGGTACCGTTTCGGTACGGTGCTCCGGAGGGCCCACCCGCCCGCGTGAGCTCCTTACCATGTTTTAAAGCTTTTGGCGCTTCCGCGCACACATATGGTGCATACAGCACCTGCACAATGCTCCGCCGAGCAGCTGGAGCGTTGTGGAAGCTTGTGGAAGCGTATTTGCAGCTACAATGCATGTGTGCACAGCATGCATGTGCGTGTATGCCGCACACATCCATGTGGGTAAAATCTGGGCCATTCCACCGGTACGGTTGGAACAGAATCTGGAACCCACCACTGCCTGTGATGCATTGTTTCACTCAGTTAAAGTTTACAAATACCAAATTTTAGTAGTGTATTAAATTATAATAGATTATAGGCCAGCTGTCAACAGAACCCGGTCCATGANTCCCCCCCCCTCCTGGTTACTGCCTTGCTCAGAAACTGTTCGGTTGAATTCTTTCGAATTTTGTTCTCCACTCAATCCCAAAATGAAGCAGCAGAAGAAGTTGTCCCGTTTGGCACCGATGCGGGGCCCGGATGATCTGTCCCGACAGCAGGGTCAACTGGTGGATTCCCAGGACTACAGTATTATTGCCCTCCTTTCCAAGGCATGCAAACAAAAACGTCGGTCAGGTTTCTTCATATGGCCAGGTTTTTTGAGGAATTGAGGTTTTCATGTATAGACCCTTCCCCAAAGTCCTCTTCGGTTGACTTCTGAAGTGCTTCAAACTTTAGAACTTGGCTCTCCTGCCTGATCTTTCCCAAGCAGGAGTAGGAGATCTCTATCAATGTTGGACTGGTCCAAAGTTGTCTTCTGGTTTTCCATATACATGGCTGCTTTTGAACAAATGTTTAAGGTCTTAACAATTCTCCCTCTGGAATCTGCAGTGGTCTCTGAGCTTGGTTGTTTGCTTTCAGAGGTTTCCTTATCTAACTAGGTAAGACCATCAGTGCTAGTGAGTATGGTATGAGATTGCAATTTTTAAAAATGATATAGTTCTCAAATTGGTGAATTCTGGGTGTTAACACTGGCAGGCAGCCATTGCAGTGCCCAGAGGCATCCCTTAGACCAGGGGTCGGCAATCTTAAACACTCAAAAGAGCCATTTGGACCCGTGTCCCACAGAAAAGAAAACACCGGGAGCCACAAAACCTTTTTGACATCTAAAATGAAGATAGCATTGCATATACAGTATTATTTTCCCCCCTTTATGCTATGTATAAAAACTATAGTGTGCTGCATTTATGGAATCAATGAACTGCTGCAGAGAAAACAAAATTTTATTTCTGTATGCAAAAACAAAAACATTTTGAACTCCCTCCCCCCAAAAAATGGGTGTAAAACTACAATAAATTGCGTGCCAGCGGGTATTGCACATTAGCAGTTGTCCCGCATATTTTGAGTGACAGGAAGCCACAGCAGGGGGATGAAAGAGCCACATGTGGCTCTAGAGCCGCAGGTTGCTGACCCCTGCCTTAGACTCAGGCAAAATAACACTACCAAAGTACTTTGTGTAGAACATTTATTTAAACCCATTGTTCTATTGGGCTACTGGTTATAAGTATTTTTTAAAAGGTTCAGTAATAAATCAGACAACGATGAGGGGAAATTTAGTGGTTCAGGTGCACATGTGAGAAGTGGCCTTTCAAATATGTTCTCATCTGATAGAGAAGGAAATCACCTTAGTTGTGCCCGAAACCCAGTGTGGGTCAGGCTTTACACAGGCATTTTTGTCTCCATGGGTGTGGATCTCCTAAAAATGGCTGTACAGGGCTGCAACTGGTGATCAGAAGGGGAGATATCGGCAGCTCCATAGAATCCAGATGTTGTCTAGATGGAAGGAAAATGCAACAGAGAAGCTGCACTGCTGAGCATGTGGTGTGATAAGTTGAAAAGTGCTTGCAAATTCACTCCATACTGGCATAGTTGAGAACTCAGAGTGACGTATCAGTTCAATGCAACTGAGAAAGCATTGTCTGTCTTCAAGTCCCACTCAATTTACATTTCTGATCTCCCCATCCTTTCCAAAAGGAAATTAGGGAGATGTCCATAGTCCTTCACCATCAGAGCCCATCCACACAACTTGTCTTTTCTGGAGGACTGGCTTAGAATTTCTTAATCCAAAAGAACATTTTATTTTAACTGGCAGGCAAATTGTCATGGCTCCTTCACTTAATAACCAAGAAAGAACCCACTCGACTCCATGTTTCAGAATTGTGTACTTTTACTGATTATAAGCGATGAGGAGCTAAGCAAAGCTGGATCTGAGCAAAAGAGCGCGAAAGCAATAGATATCAATACATGATTCATCCCCCCCCCCAGTCTATAGTCCAATCGTATATCGCCCCAACTGTCAGGTGAGAGACATCTTCAAAAAGCATCATCAGGTTGGTATGCCAGACAGTTGGCCTTGGCGGGAAACCCCTCCTTCCACATGCGCAAACGAATGGTGAGAACAACTCCCAATTAACAGTCCTCCTGTACAAATTAATTCCCTCACCCAAATACCATGCCTCCCTCACCATTTCAATGGCAGCTGAAAAGTAAGCAGCAAAACAGAGGCTGACACAAATGCTTTAATATGAAGAGTGCCTCCAAGCCCATTTTCTTCTTCTGCTCTGATTCCCACTTCCAGAATGGCCCCATCAAACCTTCTGTTGGTGCTCACTGCACTGATTGCTAGGGTTTCTGGCCACTTCATTGGGTGGCACATCTCTCATGCAGGCACCCTGTCTCCAGCAATAGCCAATTACAGTCATCCAAACAGTCCTAAATAACCAGCAATTTCCAAACATTTTTATTTCCATTTAGCCACTATAGATAAAAGTTCCCTTCAAAACAAGTTTGACTATGGTGATGATTCAGAAAGGCTTTGCTTTTGAAGAAGTTTGCTGCTGTCTTCCGTTGCTTCCCCAAACTCACTCCATTTCCCAATCCATATCTCTGGCATTTCTTGCTCATCTCCCATTCAGTTCCTGGCTTTGTTTATGAAGATGGGTCAAAGTCACTGAATTTGGGACAGCAAATTAGGCATAATAATTCTGCATGGATCTGACACTATATTTAAGCCAAATGATGGGGCTACAGCAGTTTGTGAGAGATGATGATGGTGTTCCAGGCTTATTTCTGCTTCGTCTAAAGCAACTGCTGTCCAAATTAAAATTAATTGCCAGCATGATTAGCCTGTTTAAAGGAGG